CCCCAGGCCACCGCCAGTCACGTGCGTCCTCCCAGCCACTTGGTTAACCCTCTAATCCCAAATCCTGCCCCGCCGGGGACACTTTCCCGAGTGGGTCAGACCCTCCATCCTCAGGGCAGGGGCCGCAGGGGGAGCCGTGCTCCCCCCTCCCCGCGCTCCCAGCGTCTCCCAGCTACAGGAAATGCCCAGGGCATTTCTTTGATTTCAAACTTCATCCCCCACTGCTGGTAGCAGCAAGAAATACCAGGCAGGGGAGAAACTTCCATTTTCCGGCACTCTCTGGGTTTATTTCCCCTTCACAAGCCCTACAGGGTCCATCTGTAGCCTTTCCCTCCCCAAAGGCAGGGCTGAGGCCTGGGACACGTTGTTTCGGTGACCCTGGGGATGCAGGGATGACCCCAGGACGTGGAACAGGGTCCCGCAGTGTCCCTGGAGCAGGCGCTGCTCGCTCCCCGCACCAGGGGATCCCATCCCGCTCCCCCTGAGTCCCTCTTGATGCTTCCACACCCCAGGATTAGGATCCCCTCATCCCAGCATCCCGAGTCTGGCTCTGGCATCAGGCACTGCTGTGGAACTGAGTGGATCAGAGCTTGCCTGCACTTCTTCATTCTCCTTTTTTTTCCCCCTGCATTTTTCTCCTCTTCTCCCCAGGGCTGGGGGTTTGGCTTGGCTGGGGGAGGATTCAGCTTTGGGGGTGTTTGTGTGCAAAATGAGGGGAAAGATCTGGAATTCAAAGGCTTGGAGAAGGAGCTAAATAAGGGGCCTGGAGAACTAAGTGGAAATCTGGGCTGAGGGGTGAAGTCTTACCCCTCCATTTGCTGTTTTCCGCTGTGCACAACACCTTGAGTTCATTCTTGGGCATCACTTCTTGCTCCATGTCTATAAAAACATCACCTGCAGGGGTGGGGGTTGTGGGGAGGGGATGATCTGCATGTGAGCAGTGAGAAGGTGAAGAGGAACCTGGCAGATCCCAGATGTGTGATGCTAGACAGCACAACAAGGGGATAACACCGACCATAAATAACATTATTGCTTTTATTGGTGCCGGGGCAGAACTTTGTTATCCAGGCACACTGAAAATCTGGAATCACAAGAAAATCTCCTTTCAAAGAGTTTGTGATATAAATATGTCACCTCTGTGTCTTGGCTGCAGGAGTGATGGATTTGTGCTGTAAATCAGGGCTGGCTTTTCCAGCCCCTGCTCAGGGAAACCGCATTTGTGAGAAAATGCTGGGTTGTGATCCTGGGCTCAAAATTAATCTTTCAGAGTCCTGTGGGGGCTGGCTCTGCACAGAGGGGTCTGAGGGTGCAATTCCCCATCCCTGCCCATCCTTTTAATGCCCACAGTGCTCCCTGTGCATCCCTCAGCCTTCCCTGATTCTTTCCCTTTGTAGCAGCTGGAACTGCCGGGATTTTCCCTGTTTGACTGTCCACAGCTCCTGGGGTGCTGTAAATTATGGCTAAATAGGGACTGGGAGGCCTCTGGCTCACAACAGGTCATTAAATATTATTAAACATAACATAACTCCTGGAAAGGATTATGAGTTTTAAGGTTGCTCTCCCAGTTTTACTGCTGGGATTTGAAGGAATTGAATAGCAGAGGGATGAGTCTATCCACGCGTGCTGGGGCACACAGCTTTAGGATCTGCTGCTTTTCCAGGCTGGAGAGATTGCTGGGACCCTCCTGGAGAGGTCTTGGGCAGGTGGGATTTGGGATGTTTGGAGCTGAAGGCAGCATGAGGTTTGTGAGGTTTTTGGGGGATTTGTGTTGGTTCCTGGAGCTGCTGAGGAATTTGGTTCCTCCAGTGGGCAGGGATAAGGACCAGGACCTCCAGGATCCCCTTCTGAACCTGCCACCAAGCCTCTGCCCTGTTCTTTGTGTGTGTAGAGCCAGAGCAGGGTGCCTGGCTCTCCTGGATTTGGGAATGTATGTGTTGGGTGCTTTGGGATCAGGGAAAAGGTTGGGAAGAGGCTGCCCCTTCCTGGGGCACCATGGGCAGGCACCAGTGTGGGACTGACTGCGGTGGGGAAGTCCCTGTGGTGCTCCTGACGCTCGCTGGGGTTCATTTTCCATGGATCAGCTCATTTTTGGGCAAAGAATGATCCCACCAACTTGAAAAGCTTCCAGGAGAAACTTCTCACAACGTCAGTGTCCGACTCCATCCCCGTAAGGGAAAGAGCTGCTCTTGGGTTGAAATGACCTTTTGTGGCTCAGTTTTAATTGGATCTTCCATCGAATGAGCCTCACCACAGAGCCACCGAGGGTGGCAGGGGGACTCTGATGGGATCCTCTGGTTTTGCTTCGTCTCCTGCTTGCTGGGAGGAGTTTTTTTCCTTCCTCTTCGCATCCCGTTTGCTTTCTGTCCATCTCCAGCAGCCCCAGGGAGCTGCCTGCCCTCCCCTGGGAGCGCGGGATGTCGCAGGAGAGCCCTGCAGGGGGCCGGGAGGGTTTGTGGTTTGTCGGAACATCCCTTCACAGCCAAGACTTCGCAGCCTTACCCAGAGCCTTGGGAATGCTGGTGGGGGATGGAGCAGTGCCTGGTGCACAGGGAATGCCCTTCCCCTTCCCCAGGGTCACATTTCCCCTCCCAGCTGAGGGTCAGGCGGTAGATGAGGACCAGCAGCCGACATCCCAGTCCAGCTTTTCCTCGAGGGCACTTGGGTTTTATTATTTTGGCAGTTTGGGAAGAAAGTTTATTATTTTGGCAGTTTGGAAACTTTGGGAAGAAGGCCCATTCCTTTTTCCCAGGAGGAAAAGTGATGGATTCCTCTGGAGAGCAGGGAGGCAGCTCAGCTCAGCGTGGTGTGGCACAGGAGCTTCAGGGTCATGGCAGAAGGGACAGTCTGGGGACAACTGTCCCAAGGGTGATGAGGCACTGAGGGCTCCTCCTGCCTGCAGCATTCCCAGCTCTGTTGGGTGTTTCCTGACCGAGCTTGGAGTGGGGCTTGGAGGATGATCTCCAGCTCTGCTGCTCCTCTCAATCCCAGGCAAAAAATTCCAGATTCCTCTCAGCCTGGGGAAGCACCATGTGTGAGCAAAAGGCTCTGGAACAGCAAAACAAAGGCAATTCCCTGTGTCCTTCGGGGGATGAGCATTTTGGGGATGCCCGAGGGGTCCTTCCCTTGCCTGAGGAAGATGTGGGATTCAGCCAGGATTCAGCGGCCACACTCCCACTCTTCTGCTGTTCCAAGCCTGGAACACTGCTCCAGGACCTTCCCCTGCTCCTGAGGGGGATCCATTCCCAGGGGGATCCATTCCCAGGGGGATCCATTCCCAAGGAGATCCATTCCCAGGGGGATCCATCCCCAAGGAGATCCATCCCCAAGGAGATCCATTCTCAGGGGGATCCACCCCAAGGAGATCCATTCTCAGGGGGATCCATCCCAAGGAGATCCATCCCCAAGGAGATCCATTCTCAGGGGGATCCATTCCCAAGGAGATCCATTCCCAAGGAGATCCACCCCAAGGAGATCCATTCCCAAGGAGATCCATTCCCAAGGAGATCCATCCCCAAGGAGATCCATTCCCAGGGGATCCCCCCAAGGAGATCCACCCCAAGGAGATCCATTCCCAAGGAGATCCATTCCCAAGGAGATCCATCCCCAAGGAGATCCATTCCCAGGGGATCCCTGGGGGCTGCACCCTCCGGGGCCGGTGGGATCCTCAGCTTTGCCCCTCCCTGTCCCAGGGACCCCCATCCCGGCCCAGGAGGGAATCCCTGCCATTCCCTGGGTTTGGTTTTCCCTGAGCTGCCGCCCCATCCTGGCTCTTTGTCCATCTGCACATCCCTCTCCACTCCAGACATCCCCAAACCCCTCGGGTTCCTCACCCGAGCTCTCCGCAGAGCTTCACCCCAGGCTGGATTCGCGGCAGGAATGTGCATTGTGCTGGCTGGGAAACGGCTCCATCCCCCCGGGAAATAATAAAGGCATTTTTATATATATTTTATATATATATAGAGAGAGAAATAAAATCCCTTGCTGGTCCCAGCTCTGCTTTGTGTGAGGGAGTGGGAGC